ATTGTGTTGTAATGAGTTAGCAGTGGTGAAGACATATAGTATGTATCCCTGATGAAAACTACATTCTCATCAACTGTTGCTCTGCTTGAGGGGAAGCTTCCTGCAGCAGGCTCTGTCTACTATTAACCAACACCTGTCTTCCAATCTACTAATTTAACATGTGGCTTCAGCTCCTTTCACTTTGAAGCAAGCTATGATATCTGGAATATAGTTATGCAGTCTCCACAGCTCCAGGTTTAAGTTATCTACCATTTTAGTATTATGCTACAAGGAGACATTTATTGTATCCTGTCTAAATACTTTTTAACTGTAAATTAATAATTCATCAGCCTCCCTGCTCCTTGCTTCTCAGAGATGATATAAGAGAAGACTTGGATTTAAAGTTAGAGCAAGCTTTATATTTTTTGTAAATAATAGCTAGCAGCTTCTCCTCTCTGTGTTAGCATGTAACCGAGGGCATGACTCACTTCCTTCACAGAGCAGACTTTAGCGAAACTAACAAATTATATGTTTGGTTCTGGATATGCAATAAAATCTAGGTGAGTAAAAAGCCAGTAATAGTCTTTGATCAGAACAACTGATAAGAGTATAAACTTGAAGTCATAATTTCAGCTTTGCCTGCAGACTGTAATTAATGTGTTAACCGGTCTTCTTGCATCTTGATGACACAATGACCAGCATCACTTCTAGCACTGTTAAAATTAAAAATAAATGCATAATGGCTGCCTGTTAAGGTTTTCACTTGGTTGTCAATATTGACAATATTAGTGTTTATTTAGAATATGCAATATTTCAACTAACAGAGAGAACACAGTACATGTCAACACTGCATGTATCGTTTTACAGCCTATGAGTTTTCCTACAGCTTAGAGACAGAGCCAAATATGACATCCTTCAATCTGCTTATCCAGTAAAACTAAAAGAAATCTTATTGTAATGCCACTAGCTTAATTGATGTGCAATGTGCACTCCAAGATAAAAATAGCACATAAATGTAGCAAACATAAGGCATAGAAGTTCACCAACAAACACCCAGCAGTGTTAAAGAGCCAATAACAAATTCTGCAGCATATTCTGCCAGCTTACATGAACCACTGAGGTTTTATGAGGAGTGCTCCCAGGTGAACAGCTTTATTAAGCACCATTCTCCTTCATACATCCATAAATACAAATCTATATGAGTGACTGAACATGAATGATGATTTACAGAGATCACTCATCAGATATGACAGACTTGAGAAGATGTGACAGAGTTAAGAACAACATAAGATCTGATGAGGGCAAATCAGCCACTGTGGCTGTTTAACTCTGACAAATATACAGGGCATCACAGGGCAACGATGCTGTGAAATTTATACCCTGATGGTAAAGCTCTATTCCATGCCTATTGTAAATATATTTGCTAACCAGAGTTTATTTCTCCAAGTAACATGGCCTGGACAGATTTTCCAAAACTAAGACAGTCCTTAAGTAACCCACTCCAAGCCTGTCATGCCCCAAGATGTATCAACCTCTCCATCTACAAAGCCAGCCGCACACCAACTGAGGATTGGTGTGGCTCATTGTGACATGGGCCCAGGACCTCTCAGCTTTGCTTGTTGCTGCTGGTGAGCAGAAGGCATATTGACTGAGCTAAATGGGAAGTTGTCAGGATATAAGGATAACCTGACAGGCGGGCTGCGGAGAAAGTAAGCATATACACATCTCTCTCTGATGTTCCATGGGTGTTCTCCCATCCAGGTACTGACCAGGCTCAGCTCTGCATAGCTTTTGAAATCAGACAAAAATAAGTGCACCCAAGACGGTGTGGCCATGGGTAGGGGACAGCAAAACCATTTTCAACCATCAAACCAAAAATACACTGCGCTCAGACAAAATGCAAACAGAACATTTGCAGAGGAACAGAGGGTGTAGAAAATCCAGAGACATTGACTAAAACCATCTACTGTGGAGAAACTATTATTTTTGAATAAAAATGCTTAAGTCACACAAGCACACCCAGTGTACACCAAGCACAAATCAAAAAACATATATTATATTGTAATAATATTAATTACATCCACAGCCTCATTGAGCCCTGTAAGTACTTGCTCTGTCCAGTGTGTAATTTGGGATCGGTAATTATAAATCAATTTCAAATTCTTAGGAGTTCTTGGGAAAAAAGATTACTTAAGTAGTCAACATTTCATTTACACAAGGTGCGTCAGCGTCACCCTGCCTGTACAACAACCACTGTGCCAGCAGATGTCACCCACGTGCTCAGTGAATGAAGTTTCAAGTAGTGAACCAATTTTCAATACAATGGTCCTGCTAGATTCTAACCTTTTTGTTAGAAATTAACCCAATTCTTTTGTTGGAAGCACGAGAAGTGACGACAGGAGAGGACTGTTTAAAATCAACAGAAAGTTTACTGAAAGTCTGATTACAAGCAAGTCTTACAGCGCTGGATTCAGAGAGCCAGAGCTCCCGCAGGAAAACCAACTTCTGAATCCCGA